GCAGTGTAGAGTAGGGCTTGTTGTTTGTCATTTCTCCGATCACAAATGCAGACATGGTTTTATGTTTACGCGGCGCGATGCAACGCAACGCATAAAAAGACAGTATAAGTCATTATAATCCGTAATTATGTCCCCACTGGATGCAACAAATGCCTCGTTTATAATGGGTTTTCATGTTTTTGAATCATCGCTCCGGCCGGACAGGGCATCACAGTATGGTGAGGGGCGTAATATTTCCATCACACGCTTGAGGTATTCGACCAATCACAACGCTCTGGATAGCTGACCAATCACAGCACACCTCGCTTTTCAGACCGATGAGCTTTGTAAAAATCGACGCGTTTCAGAAAGGCGGGGCATAGAGGAGAAACAATAATGTACAGTATGTGGAAAATAATGTGTTTTTTGAACCTTATAAACATTTCATTACACCAAATACACAAAACAATGTTCTGTTTAGGCAACATCCTATGACCCCTTTAACACTGTTATAAGGCCACCCACATTATGTGATTTTTGTGTGCGTGTTGCAATTTTTCATAGATATAGAATACATTTAAGTATACACATTTTAGTGAACGAGACTCACTATTCTTAAAAAAAGAAAAACTTGATGTCTCTGTAATGCAAATTATTTTCTTGATGAACAACCCACCTTTCCTTTTTCCCATTCCTGCTATCGCCATCTTCTTGATTTTCATCATCAGACCCCGAATCACTTTGTCCCTCCTCCCAGTCCTTGTAGGACGACACCTTGGATTTCTTGGGTTGATCATCCAGACTTTCCTTGCCCTCGCGCTCCTTGCGTTTCTGTGCGGCCAGCAGATCGAGGCCCAGGAGCGAGGTTCGTGGAGCGGGAGCTCTGAACACATGCTGTTCTGTTGAAGCACTCTTCTTCTTCACTATCAGCCCCCCGACCTGAACACTGGGGTCACTCCCTTCCAGTCGATGCAGGGAGGAATCATCTTCCATCTCTGCTGAGGTCTTGTCCACAGCACTCAGCTGATGGATTTCTGGTAAAGGATCTAAAAGAGGTTGCCAAAAGTTACTAATGTGGGTCAAAAACACAGTCTTTATGATCTAGGTAAACACATGCTGATAAAACATGACATTAATATGATTTCATGTGATTTAGGATAAGTCAAAAACTGGAAAATGTACGTTTAAGTGTTAACTTGTCATATAAATGTGTCTAAAATGGCCCCTGAACAATTCAAGCGGCAAGTTTTGCCACATGCCACTGCAAAAGGTCATTTATAATACTGATAGTTCCTGCTGATGGTTAAACGGCTGACTGATGTAACGTTACACGATGAAGCTCTTTATGTTTGCTATTGTAACTTACAGCAGTCCTGTGAGAAACTCCTCATTCACAAGAGAAAACAAAACGGGTTTACCTTTCGAACGATGTTCTCAGATGCCAGTCATATAAGTTCCTCAAACCTGTTCTACACGGTATGATGAAACTTATGTAATGTATGATATAATAACAACACTCAATGAAATAGCATAGCGGTAAACGTCAACTGTGTGTACAGTAGGCCGCCATTACAATCCCAGCATTCACAGCTTAGTAACGTCACATCCGATTCCTGAATTAATCACTATTGGGAACCGGCTGTTTCAAACGATTCATTCAAGCGTTCGTAAATTATTGTACGAACCGGCGAAATGTCGCAGTTCATTGCGTTTTTATATTCGCGAAGCTCATTGAAAACGTGTTGATAACAGCATGTTAAACAAGCGCTGCTCGTGGACGCCTGGAAACATTTTTGCGTGATGACTAGCGAATTGGTGATTCAATTGAAACGACTCGTCCGAAAGAACCGATTCACTTCAATGAGTCAGACTTAACAACTTCAAAACATTTCTTCCTCACATGAATAGTTTCCCAGCATACTTCATTATTTATTTTAATTTCATTCATTTATTTATTTCAATCTCTTTTCTTGAAAGTGTGTGAAAGCACAGAATCATACAAATTATTGTATTTCTATGCCGTGCAAAGGCTCCGGTTCAGTTACTGGCATATTTACAGTGAATCATATTTAGTAATTATTTTTTGCGAAGCTGCTTGCGACAATCTTGTAACCACACAGAGTGAAGACAAAGCTAAATCATTTTAATCATGTTTATTGTAATCATGTAGTGCCATAACTCATGGCGTTCAAAAGCGTACTTCATTTTTTTAAGCACAAAATGATTTTAAATTAAGTCAAATTTAAAATATACAGAAATAACCAGTAACACATGCACTGTCACATATTGTTATACCATCCAAAAACACTTTAGCACTAATACTACCTATGCATCTCCCTGATTTTGTCCAGTCTAAAATACCATATACAAAGAATGATTACATACTGCACAAATAAATTTGCATTTTTAAACATTTATTGAAACCTTTAACAAACACACACCGATTCAGTAAATCAGTCATATTCACGATGACATGCCACAAATAATCCTAATCTGATAGATAAATTAGAATTTGTAATTAAATATATGACTGAGCAATAATAAAGGCCTTGAACTCTGATTTTTCCTGTTGTTGAACTGAAAGAGCAGATAGGGATCTATAGACGAACACACTTGTTCTTTTCCCACTATAATTAAATTATGATGACATTAATATGTGAGCCAATGAAAAAAAACATGACAATGTCATCAATAACTATACATATGCACACAAACATGAACATCAATCGTTAGACATAGCTGAACACATTGACTCGGCCTGGCAGGAAAATAATTAATTTGCACATTTCTTGGGGCAGGAATGTCAAATGATTTTAAAAGGCAAACACAAATATGACACTCGGAATAAAACTCAGAGAAAAAAAAAAAGATCTACGAAGAGAAATGGTTTGTATCATCCAATAGTAATGATGCATGCGGATTATTCAAATATATGACTACATAAATGCATAATAATGACTCACTCAATGCGTTTCATTAAAAACTATTTAAATGCAATATTGTTTGGAAAAGAAATGCAAGATTTAACAACAAGTACAGAAAAGAAGCAAACAAAAGTAGACATTTTGGTTTACTTATACTTTTGAACGTTAAGGGCAACACTTGCATATAATGATTTTTCATGACCTGACCTAATTCCAAGAGAAGCTAGAATATACATGCAAGTGCTTGAAATGCTAAGAACAATTCATTAGAGAAGCATATGCATAAGAGTAATGAACAGGTACTCTACAAGCTGTACAACGGTTCATGTATCACACACTTCCCAAAACTAATGTTCTTACCGACAATGAAATAAATTGTTAAAAAAAATCAACATTTAAAGATCTCTCAAATGCATTACAAAAAGGCTGAATAATGGAGTCGATTTCAAGTTGGCAGATACAGGTAGCACACTATAGAAATCTTCATTGTAAGAAAGGAGTGTAAAATGTAACAAAGCACTGTATGACTGTAACTCTATGCTACGTTTCAGCAATTGCACATCCGTGCAAAAGTGATATGACATTTGGAAAAAAATAAAATAAAAATGACAATATTTTCGAGTTCTCCTTATAGGGATAGTTCACCCAGAAATGAAATTCTGCCATCGTTTACTCACCCTCATATCCGTTTGACTTACTTTCTTCTGTGGAACATCAATTTTTTTTTTCCCGTCTCCATACAATGGAAGTCAATGGTGACCAAAACTTGGTCATGGTTACCAACATTCTTTAAAATATCATTATTTTGTGTTTTTCACAGAAGAAAGAAAGTCGTACAGGTTTGGAATGACACGAGGGTCAGTAAATGACAATTTTCATATTTGGGCGAACCATCCCTTTACACCATGTTGCATTTAAAACAGCAATGTCTTTATAATAGCACGACTCCACGCTCTTCTCTTGGAGATGTACTGTATCTTTCAACTCCACTTGAATCATTTGGTCAACATCCTTGGGTAATAACCCAAGGCAATTCACTGACAAACATCAATCAGCAGCTATGTGAAGACTGTGGACGTGTGATTTGTCAAAATGATCAGAGAATTAAAATCCATTAGCAAAAGTCGGACCTGTCCTGAAGGGCCTGATCTTTTCAACTACACTCTAGATCAGGGTTCCTCAAATCTTTCCCTGGAAGGCCAATGCGCTGCAGAGTTTAGCTCCAACCCTGATCAAACTCAGCTATCTGTGATTGTCTAATGATCCTGAAGACATTGATTAGCATGCTCAGGTGTGTTTGATTAGGGTTAGAGCTAAACTCTGCAGGAAAGTGGATCTCGTGGGCCAGATTTGAGGATCCCTGCTCTAGATTAATTTAAAGGAGTTGAAGTCATTTCCAAGTACATTTCTAAAAACGTGTGACAATCCGATGACAGAAAGCGTGATCAAGATAATGCTTAGATAATGGTTAGACAGGACTGTGAATTCTAGTAGGAAAAAAAAAAAAGTTGAAATGAACCAATGGGCTTTGGACCTTTTCCAAATAGCTAGTTGAGTGGAAACTAAAGAAGAGAGGATGAGCAGGAGTTTAGAGAGTGATCTTGCGGACTCACTCACTCAAACAAGTCAAGGCCTCCAGACAAGAGAAATATATATCGTGACAAAGTGTTCAGGAGGATTTGTGCTCCAACATGTAGTAACGGTACATGACGCCCACGAGTACAGCAGCTACGGCGGGAATCAACCAGGTGGTCCATGACCTGAGCAAATAACAAACAGTGGTTTAAAAAAAACTAAACAAGCATGAGTACCATAGTTTATGCAGAACATATTCTGAATTCTCACCTGGAGTCTTTGGAAGTGGTGATGTAAACTTCCTAGAATGGAAATGTGATAAAGCGAGCAAACATTAACAAACTGCAACAACTTTTACATGACAGTCAATATGTTTGCGCATCAGTCACAAAGGTCATGGTATTTAAAAAATAATAATAATAAAAGTACCTTTTTTGATTCTTTCTTTCGATCATCCTGAAACGGACAAATAGGCATTATTAAAATGCATGACTTTACACATGCTTGAAGACACAGACTAGATTAGGGACAACTAATGGATAAAATCACTAATAACCAATAATAATAAAAAAAAAAAAACTTTACAATCGAAAAAGTACCTTTTTTGATTCTTTCTTTCGATCATCCTGAAACGGACAAATAGGCATTATTAAAATGCATGACTTTACACATGCTTGAAGACACAGACTAGATTAGGGACAACTAATGGATAAAATCACTAATAACCAATAATAATAAAAAAAAAAAAACTTTACAATCGATTAATGACATTTGCGTGTGCATGGAAAACATCCACAGTTTACGTTCTTTTACTTCAGAGAATAACACATTTCTATAGAAAGTACACATTTAAAAAGGGCACAGAGTGAACTACTGTAGGAAACGTACATGGTCCAAGTAATCCTAAACTTGAGAAAGCTTCATATTAAGCTTCAAACATACTCATAAGCATTTAATCTATTTGAGACATGTTTTCCTCCACACATAACTTAAATTCGACATTAGAACGTTAGAAATCCATTCCAGTATTTCCGGTTTGCATAAAGGCTCGTCCTGGCAGTGAGTCTCAAACTCCATTTTAAATATCACAAACTTCAATTTGCACACTGTTTGGACAATACCGAGCGAGATGTAGAATCACTTTTTTTTTATAAAATACCAAAACATAAAATTTGGATTTTTAAATCAGACATAATCGATTATCAAAATAACAGTAGTTGCAGTCCTAGGCTAGACGATTATTTTCACAAAAATGTCACGTACAAGTTGGAACAAAACACTTTCTAAAGACTTTCTTGGCTCATCTTTAAACCAATAAACCTTTAAGAAAAGCAAGCAGCACTACCATATGTAGTTCGCCGATGTAATACTGCTGGAGCATCTCTCTGGCATCTGTGGAATGACCCACATCCTCAAAGCTTTCTGTTGCATCTGCACCTGCTTGCTCTAGCAGAACCTCTTCACCTCCTGGATGCTGTCAAAGAAAAGAAGACAAAGGTTTATAAATGATATCCTTTGGACACCGGCACTGCGTGACATGATGACATCTGTTGCACAATATTCAACCTCTAATCTCTCTTTACAATTCAAAGGTTATGATACAAACAATGGTGAGAAAGTTTGACACTCTGGCAACTAACATCAAGATTTCGGTGTAAGCCTTTTGTACAAAACATGTTAATGGAAGGGTTAGAATCCAAGAACCGGTTCTTATAGTGTATTAATGCACTTTTGGTTCCTGGAGTGTTTTTTGTTTTTTTTCTCTCCATTCATTTTTTTCCATAGGGATTTTAAAATAATTCCTTAGTATTCCTGTAAAATTTAAAATGCCTAAAAAAAGGCATACCCAAAGTAAATTGCATGCTGTTCTTGAACCTCTCTTTTGAAAGGTGACACTCTGAGGTTTGTTCCTTAACCCGAACAAACCTCAGAATCACTGGAAGTCTTACTGGTATTGAGTAACACAACTTTGAACACACTGAAAAAGGGGGGGGGGGGAATAAAAACATCCCCCCTCTTTTTAAACATTCCACCTTCTTTTTTTTTTTTTTGGTAAAAACACAATGGGATCACAACATGAAGCGTTGTTGGCAGTCAGACAAAAACACTGATTATACCTGCTGTGCTGGTTGTATCTTAATTTTTTTTTTTTCATATGTCACGAAGTTAACCCTTAAAAACATGCAGTGTACCGCGGGCGTGGTCCAGGAAGTGGATCAGAATATTACAACCACTCATTAGAAAATAAATATGTAAATACGGTACTTAACAGCTTTAAAGAGGGACAGAACTACAATCCCATGAAGTATTGTGTATGACAATGAACTTAACAGTGATGGAAAAGCATAGTGATTTAAAGACGATGATTATACATATAGAGAGAATATAGTTTGTTTACTGCATAGCATATATTTAAAAAGCGTAGTAAGACAGATTCCC